AAATAAATTTGATTCTGTAGCAGCCCACTCAAAAAATAAAAAAATAAAAAAAGAAGAGAGGAAAAGAGGTATCGAGCCCTGGTGAAAAAGGACTGGGGGAGAGAGGGAAAAAAAAGAGAAGGTATGCATTGCTGGAGAGCTGGTACAGCCAAAAAACAGACTCAGGAGAAACCTGGGTATACATAAAAAGTACTCCAGGGTATTCTATTCTATAGTCCTCAAACACAGGCAAACACCAGAATAAAATAGAATGTTCCTCCCGTATAATGTCTCCAAAGATACTAGGAAAAACAGAACTAACCTAGTTGCCCCTTCTCACTCACCTGTTTTATATGCAGCATTTTGCTTTGATGGCAAGAGGAAGGCAAATTCAATCATATGATGAATCAGGGTGTATCACTTTGGATTCTGCACTGAGAGATTACGTCAACCACTTCTGCAAAAACTAGATCCCATGTTAAATATTCTACTTGGTCTGTCATTCTAAATAGGCAATTGACAGAGCTCCGAATAAGAACCAAAAAGGAATTTATCTTGACACTGATTCCTCTTCTGTTTTGTTCTATATACAAGGGCAACACTACCAGGTGTGTGATTTATTAAACTGGAGTGGTTTGGGAGAGGTTCTCTTTAAATTATGATTCACTATTCAGATCAATAAGCAGCAATGCCTAAGGTATATAGTTAAGCTTCTTCACTCTTCTATAGAGACAACAGGATCTTGGCAGAGGTTCACTTTTCTCTTTCAAAGGAAAAAGAAATTAGACTTTCTGAAGAGAACTTGTCTACTCATCATTTTAGTAAAGCTAATGCTTGCATTGTGTTTTAGAGAACAAAGTACACTTCATGTACTTTACATTCTTAAAATAGTTCTTTAAAATAGCCCATTATTATCCTTATTATGACTGTGATGGAAGCTTGTTTAAAACTATCTAATAAAATTGTGAGGTGATATTTGAACCAAAAGCTACACAGATCACATTCTTTGTAATTATTTTCATTTTGCTCTTTAATATCAAAAGGGTACCCTTTACCCTAAGGAAAGGTACATATACCAGAAATCAATTCTAATCATCCTGTATCAAGAGTTTAGAATGACAATACCATGTAATTGATTTTTTAAATGTACTGTTTGTAATTCTCTTACTGGAAAGGTTTTTGTAGGCCACTCCGAGTCTCCATAGATTAGATCAGCTAGTCTCAATTGGAGGTCCACGCAAAAGGTCACTGGGGTTCCAAGAGAGACTATGATTGAAAAAAAAATTATTTTTTGAACTTTGTGTACAATGCGAACACTTGTAGTAGTAGGACTTTTACATGCCACTACTAACTACTGGCCTGCCATTTTGCTGTTATTGTAAATGTTTGTAAAATGTGGAGTGTGTAGGTTAGAAGCGATTCATATTATGAAGTTTTGGGGTTTTTTGCTTTTTTTAATGCAGGGGTTCCCTAAGATCGGGAAATTATTTCAAGGGTTCCACCAGGGTAAAAAGGTTGAGAAAGGCTGGATGAGAATGGCATATAAGTCCTGATAAATAAATAACCATCTTTCTTCATTTTTTAAGCAGACATTTGTTCAGAAATGTTTTCCAATATCAAATATGATACAGCATGTATCTTGTTTGCCCTATAGTCTGCTGAATTTTGGGAAACACAAAAAATCAGTTCCAGCATAAGAAAGGTTAGATGAAAAATGTTATCAGTCACTTCACTTAACAAATAGAATCACCTGCCTCTTGTGTTGTAGTTACTGCTTACTTTACACAGGTCTAGATCCTTCCAAAACTGGAGGCATTTGTTTATATACTAAGAACCTATTTTTAGTTTTACATTTTAAAGGAATGGAAAAAGTGAGATGTCCTAAAGGAAGGAATATTGTGAAAATTAATGTGTTAGCATTTTGGAAAGGAATAGATAATTCAGTGAAAATAAATATAGGGTTTATTTAATAATTATTTAATATGGCTACCCTTTGTGGATTTTAGATTCTTCTCTGTCTTCTGAATTCTCCTATATTAGCTTTCTCAACTAGATGCCTTTCAAAAAATATCAAGCAGCTATAACTCCCAACCCATGTGATGAAAAGTTGGTTAATAATGCAGGGAGTTCCATTCCAAAGACATGGTGATGACACTGGCATTAATAGAGACATCAACTTAAATACTCCTTTCTTTTTTGAAATAGTCTAACTTCAGGGGAAAAAATTATCCTAACCCCATGCCTTTCCTGAGAGAGTCATAAATACAGTATATAATTTAGAAAACAATCATATCCACTTCTCCAAGAATCCAAGTTTGACCAAACATGACCCAGCCAGAGAAAGAAACACATCATTAGTTTAAAAGCACACATACCAGTTAGAAAACAAATGAAAAATACCAGGCACTGAATCTCAAATTTGATTTGTTAATCTTTTAGAAAAGATATTCCTATTAGTAGTTAAAGCAGTGTCAAGTATTCTGAACTTTTGGATAGACATGTAATGTGGCATTCCCAATTTTAGTTAAGGCGAAAATAGGAGATCTAACAATGACATGAGGGTGAATTTGATGTGATACTGATATGTTACCTGAACAGTCTTTGGAATGCTAAATTAGAATCAAATTTGGATCAAGTGAGAATTTACTTGGTTTTGCAGTTAGCAAAACATTTCCTTTAGCTTCAGTTCTACTAAATTTGTGCATTGTTTCTACCAAATGCCTGAACTTTGGCAGCTATTTTAAAAATCCCAATAGCTTCAGGAACCTGATATTTAGCATTTTTGTGTTTAGGACATAAAAGCTGAATACTGTCTAAATACACCAAAGATATGCATTCAGCCTTGTAATCACCCTTGTAAACACGGTCAATATGTAAATAAGATAATTTTTTGGGTTCAGATTTCAGATATAGATGCTGAACATCGGAGTAAATTCAGGAGCAGGGGACAGAACTGGAAAACAGGAGTCATCCCAATAAACAAATACCTCCGCTCTGTTAATGTTCTCTGGCCAACTGGAATTTTTCCTCACACAGGAACACTTAAGCTTTTGCCTGGTCACACTTGCCATACAAGAGACTTCTAGAATTGTAGTGCCCCCCTCAGCTCACATGGACATGCATTCATTATCTGGAATGATCATGTCTTAAGAATTAATTGCCAGTTCATGCTCACTGCCTGATTTCCTCTTCCTTAGAATGAAAATAAACTCATTTCCTAAAATTTTTGTTTGGCTCATAACACATTCTAAAATTGCTCCTTGCAGAGAAGTTTTATTCCCCAAAGACCCATTTCACCATGTAGCAATTTGTTCCCTCTGGTAAACTTCCCATGAGGAAAAACTAGCCCAGGAATTGCTAAGCAACATAGGATTCTGGCCAATTAAAGGCTCACTGGTTCAGAGGCTGCAGTACTTCAGACATATTCTTGTAAACACAGCAGATCATTACTACTCCTTCAGTTGTAGTTGTCAGGAACTAGTTCACATATACAAGCTTTTGGGATGAAAATAACTCTTTAAAAGGGCTAATTGGAAGATAAAGTTAGGTTTTCCTTCAGTAACTGAAATAGATCAGAATTTTTTTTTTAATTCCAAAGAAGTAAATGTGACAGCTTAAAAACTAACAAATTTATTACAATCTTAGTTTTCATGGACCAGAGTCCAGTTCATGAGATACGTGAAGAAACAGCCCTAGGCATTCTTATGTCATTCTAAGCTGGATAGAGATGTCAAAGAGCAGCTTTGTGTAAGGACCATTTATATCCTCAGAGAATTATTCATGAAGAATAATATCTGGCAGTAGAGCAAAGGAGAAGTGGAAAGCAGTATTTGAAAACTAAATTCTCCGGTGGGTGAAAACAGTGAATAGGTTTTCCCCCCACAAATCTACACATACTTATAAATGCAATTCTAACAGTTATTTATTAATGAACACTTAAGAGTCTGAGCAAAAGGCTTAAAGGCAACATCATGGTCAAATAGATTAGAAAATGATATTATTTTGCACTTAGACAATAATTTCTTTTTCAGACTCTAATGTTGCTTTACATTTGCTTAGTGTATTAATACTTAAGGAGGAATCTCTAATGCAGTCCTGTTAGGTTCCACCAGGAAAAAAGTTATGGTTTTATACCACACCTTCCTATTTAAGCAAAGTGTAAGGTTGAAAGGATTCAAGAGTCAACAAGGCTTATTAAAAAAAAACTACCTTCCATCTTTTCTGGCAACCTTCAGCAACAATCCCCAAGAGGGCATTTTTCATAATCATGACTGTACAAATTTGCTGTTTGGGTCAAGAGAAATTAAACGTCACCCTACCAAAAGCATGCTGCTGAAACTTCACAGCTTACATGACTGAGAAACCTAGCAGTTGCCTTCCCAAGGCAAATCTAGCTGGTTAGCCCCCAATCTGTGTCATTTCATCACTCAAAGCACAGACAAATGCACACACAACTGATGCTTAGTATGGCACAGCATAAATATAGGAAAATGATATCATATCCTGCCATGATCTGGAATGCCAATAGTAGGCTAAATATATCAGAGTCAAAAGGGACAACATTCTCATTCAAGCACAGAGCCATGCACTGAGGAAGAGGGGACTCATACGCCCCCCCCCCGAAGCAAGCCCCTCAAGCTCAGGATTTCGCTGAAAGTGCAATAGAATCGGCAGGAAGGAGGTGGGGAAAAGCAGTAGAAAAAGAACCCTTTCCTACGTACACGCGAGCTACCCACCACGCCCGCCCACTTACTCCCAGCAGTTTCGTATCTGAAAGCCATTCACTTCCAACAGGAAACGGGGAATTCTCTGTGATACTTAACAAGACACAGCTAGCGTATTGCATTGTTATCTGCACACGCACGGAAAGCACTGAAATGACAGCTCGAAAAACTGAAAAAAGGGGATACATATAATTACACTAAAAGCACAACCTCGAGCAGTGCATGGTCGCTTGCGCAGCCAATCCTTATTTTTGCATGCCATAAGGGAGAAAAACCCACAAAATTCTGTACACTCACATTGTTTAAATAGTTCCAGACACAAAGCCATGGGAGACACAAAGAGGACGGGGGACTAGAACGAGAAAACGGGGAGAGAGAGAGGGAGAGGGAGACAGAAACGAAAGAAACCGGCCTTCTTTCCGCCCGGGAAGGAAAAAGAGGAATGGCGCTACGGCAGAGGGGCAAAGCCGGATTCCGCTCTGCTCATTGAGAAAACAACAAACAGGTCCCGGTCGAGGAAGGAAGAATGGGGCGGAGGACGGGCGGCAGGCACAGCTGGGCCTGCCCCGTGGCGCTTCAGACCGTGGCGAGGGCAGGGAGCGGCAGCTACGGCCGCCGAGAACGACGATCTGACCGGTGCTGAAAGAAAGATACAAAGTAAGAGAAAAACGCCGCGGTACACAACAGGCTTCGCCGGCGCACACTCACCCTCCTCCCTCACTCACTCACTCAGCCAGCCCATCCGCTCCCGTTATGTACTTTCAATGGGAGGAGCATCGGGGTTGTTAAAGCCCAGCGCCGGCCACGCCCACCTCCCGGCCCGCCCGCCGCCA